TGATTATAAACTAGAGAAAGAGATAGATGTTTATTGTTTTATAGGTTGGCCTATCTACTTATGATTATAAACTAGAGAAAGAGATAGATGATTATTGTATTGTTTTAAAGGTCGGACTATCTACTGATGATTATAAACTAGAGAAAGAGATAGATGTTTATTGTATTGTTTTATAGGTCGGACTATCTACTGATGATTATAGACTAGAGAAAGAGATAGATGTTTATTGTATTGTTTTATAGGTTGGACTCTCTACTGATGATTATAAACTAGAGAAAGAGATAGATGATTATTGTTTTATAGGTTGGACTCTCTACTGATGATTATAAACTAGAGAAAGAGATAGATGTTTATTGTTTTATAGGTTGGACTCTCTACTGAAGATTATAAACTAGAGAAAGAGATAGATGTTTACTGTTTTATAGGTCGGACTATCTACTGATGATTATAAACTAGAGAAAGAGATAGATGTTTATTGTTTTATAGGTTGGACTATCTACTGAAGATTATAAACTAGAGAAAGAGATAGATGATTATTGTATTGTTTTATAGGTCGGACTATCTACTGATGATTATAAACTAGAGAAAGAGATGGATGTTTATTGTATTGTTTTATAGGTTGGACTCTCTACTGATGATTATAAACTAGAGAAAGAGATGGATGTTTATTGTATTGTTTTATAGGTCGGACTATCTACTGATGATTATAAACTAGAGAAAGAGATAGATGATTATTGTATTGTTTTATAGGTCGGACTATCTACTGATGATTATAAACTATAGAAAGAGATGGATGTTTATTGTATTGTTTTATAGGTCGGACTATCTACTGATGATTATAAACTAGAGAAAGAGATGGATGTTTATTGTATTGTTTTATAGGTTGGACTATCTACTGATGATTATAAACTAGAGAAAGAGATAGATGTTTATTGTACTGTTTTATAGGTCGGACTATCTACTGATGATTATAAACTAGAGAAAGAGATAGATGTTTATTGTATTGTTTTATAGGTTGGACTCTCTACTGATGATTATCAACTAGAGAAAGAGATAGATGTTTATTGTATTGTTTTATAGGTTGGACTCTCTACTGATGATTATAAACTAGAGAAAGAGATAGATGTTTATTGTATTGTTTTATAGGTTGGACTATCTACTGATGATTATCAACTAGAGAAAGAGATAGATGTTTATTGTATTGTTTTATAGGTTGGACTCTCTACTGATGATTATAAACTAGAGAAAGAGATGTTTATTGTTTTATAGGTTGGACTATCTACTGATGATTATAAACTAGAGAAAGAGATAGATGATTATTGTATTGTTTTATAGGTTGGACTATCCATTGATGATTATAAACTAGAGAAAGAGATGGATGATTATTGTATTGTTTTATAGGTTGGACTCTCTACTGATGATTATAAACTAGAGAAAGAGATGGATGATTATTGTATTGTTTTATAGGTTGGACTCTCTACTGATGATTATAAACTAGAGAAAGAGATGGATGAAACTGGTATTAACTATGATGGTTTTAAATTACAAGGATTAAAACTGAAACCAGAGACAAACTATATGGTGAATATTTCTGGTATTTTACTGGGCAGATTGAATAATTATATAAATCAGACTTTCTCTACTGGTTAACAACCACCCAGTGTTAAAGGTAGGAATCGTTTTATGTCCGAAAACCATTTTGTATATTTGCAACGTGCAGATGGATAACTATTGTGATACTCTTTGGCTGCTTGTAATTTTTCCTTATGGATTTATGTGAGGTGTATTTCATGGACTCAGTACAGTAGCAGCATATTTAGGGGAGGACTATAGGGCCATATATATTTGCCCCCCCCCCCCCCCCACTCCTCACCCTCATACATTTTCTAGTTACACCCCGTCATGGGTACATGCATATTGATAGATATTTATGAATTCTGATTCTTCTTTTTCTTATACTTATATCTTGACGAGATAATTTCCTAGTTACGAATTTTTTCTTGAACAACAGAGATATAAAATTGTCCAAACTGTCTGGGTGAATTAAAATTGCTTTTGTTTTTGCTATTTCAGACGACAGGGATATCAAAATAGCCAAGACATTAGATGGTCTAACATTAATAATATTCTTGACAGATATATTTGTATCAAACTGGAAAGCTTTAATCTTTGAAGTTAGTTTGGGTACCAAACAAGGCAGTGGAGATGTTATACAGTGGCAAGAAACAAGAAATGACAGAATCCGTTTGACATTACCTAAACATAGGAAATATAAACAACTATATCTTACTCTTACTGCAGTGGATCCTTGTGGTTTATTTACTACTATTCGGAAAATCATTGTATTGTAAATATTAGATAACTCGCTCCACCGTTATAGAACTATATCGAGTAATGCCTCCTTACAGTAGCATTTTAAATCCACATATTCTTTTCTTTATAGATATCATAGACGGTTTATGTTATCGGTAACTGTAACATTTTTTAATACCATGCCCCCTTAAGTATAATGTGCTTTTAACATATTAGTAGCCTGTCCTAATTTGTCTTTATATAAACGTTTATATATCATTCCATTTCATTAAGTATAATGAAATTTGTATACCGCCTTTACCAGCTACTAGAGCGCGTTTGCCACCATACATTTACAATTGTTTTTTTAGTATAAATATAATTGAATTCGTAAATTTGCGGAAAACTGAAGGAGCTATTTTCAATTGTCAAGAACTGAGGAGATACGCCTATTCCTATATCAAAATATGTAGAATTCAAGTCAGCGTTACTATTGTTGCCCAAACATCATTGCTACGGCGTCTCGGGTTTTCCGACTGCTCCGACAGGTCATTTTGAGTCTTGATATTCGATAATTGGATAACACGTTTTCTTGACGCTGGCTGCAATAAAAAGTTGGAATATTATTATTATGTATGATGAAACCATTCCTCGACACTTGAAAAAGGATAATATTTCGAAAACCGGTTCGTGTCAATTGCGTAAGTTTTTGTTTTACTTGTTATAATTTTTCAGATCATTGTTAGCGTTATTTATCACCTAAATATATATTTTTGCATTTTTCATCATAACTTTCATCTTACTTTATATATCCCCAAACCCAGTTTGACTTATTTGCATAATTTGATCCCCACATTTTCACGCTAGCATATACAGTTTCCTCCTGTTACATCCGCTGTACATTCCCTTTCTAACCTCAAGTTATTTTCATTATGCTCCCCAACTACAACAACCACTGGCAAGAAGCCAGACATAGAAACACTAATCGTCAACCAAACCAGTATCAAGTACCCTACAACGGCCCTGTCTTCCATCGACCTCTACCACCTACCAATCGCCGACCACCAACCAACCCATCCAGCTATATCCCACCCCATCGCCGACCTACCTACAACACCTACCAATCAAGAGGTAACCATCGACCTGACCAACAACAGAAACGACTACCAGCCCACCGACGCCAACCAGTCCCCACTCATAAGGAGGAAGAACCCTTTGTGAAGGTGTTCTTCCAAGTTTTGCAGTGCCTCCATCATTTGGCAATCCTTACCCTTCAACAGCAAGGCCAACCAGCGTTTACCTTCAAACGCAAAGTCTCTGAGTTGGATAGTTTTATCCGTCCAGCAATGAAAACATCAGCTGTTGACGCGAATATTAGATCCCTCAATCGGACATGGCTCTCTAAGGTACGCA